ATAATAGTCTTTAAAAATGCAGAGCTAATGTCAAATACTAAAAAGAATGGACATCATAGGTAATAATAAGCAGTATGTGGTCTTTAAAAATTCCTCATATAGAAAAGGGCTTGGTTTGTTCTTTTGAAATTGCTGGACTTCAATGACAGTAATAAAGCAGTCACGACACAAAAAAAATCCCAGTAATTATGCAATTTAGAGCTGAGAAGGATTAGGAGGCTCATTATTACTTCATTTTACATTGTGCAGAGAAAAAAAGAGATTTTTCTCTATTCTGAGATTTAAGGAGCCTTTTAAAGCTTTAATATAACCAGCAAATTGAGCTGTACACTAGGTAAGAACTGTAGCACGCACTAATATAGCTGATGTCAAAAGCAGTTAACTCTGCCATCTATATCAGTGAGAGAATTACTAACCAGTCCAGAACAAAAATGTCTTTCATATATTCAGATGACACGCTAGCTGAAAACAACACATCATAAAGCAATGCTTGGCTTTAAACATGATAACTGCTAATTAATAATACAGTAGTAAATTAGGAAAAAAAAATCTTTTTTACTTAGAAACAAGTTATTCCACTAACAACTAAATATCCAAGTTTTGGACCAGCAGCTTAAGTGTTTTGATACTGGCAATCAGGCCTAATGCTTAAAGGTTATATTTATATTGCATTGCACACTTACATGCCTCACAAGATTCAGCAAGTGAGCATCAGAATTGGAAAAAATAAGACAACAATAGGCAAAGAATATATTAACTAATGTTCATGTGAAAAGTCTCATTAAGCTAATGGGACTGGTAATTGAAGTAAATTGCTCCACAAACTTGAGTGCTGCTAGACTTTGGCCATCTCGGCAGGAAAAATACATGTTAGAGTATAAATTTAAATCATAAAATACCTTACATGAATGCATGATAGGCACAGTATATTTAAGAGAACTCAGGTTTAGTGATATATTTGGTATCTAAAACTCCATAACAAAAACACTCTCCTGTAGCAACTCTCATTCAGCAACTGTTTGCCACAGTAGATTAGTCAAAACTGATTTTTTCCAAGCTAATGACAGATTCTACAATTTTTTAATTTCCTATCTCACAAAAGAAATGTGTGGTTAAATATGACCATTGTCCTAGAGCAATCTGTTTTTCCTTCCCTGCACAAGCAGATTTTTTCTCCAGATAATTCATCACCTCAGCCACAGTGTC